TCTTCTGTGTCTGTGTTAATTGGTTTCCCTTTTCTTTGTTGAAGAGGGTCTGTGCAATCCTTCTGCCTAGTCCACCATCTTGCCCCGCCTCTCCGCCCAATTTCTTTTTAATGAAAAAAAACTGGTGAGTTCCAAGGTGAAAAAGATTCTTCTATATGCCCCTTTTGCAGTTGTTCAGACACCAGTTCTTTCAGAGCCTGTAATTTTTCTGACGTCAGGGGCCACTGAGGTGCCCAAATGGGTTGCTCAGATTTCCATTTTATCTTTACAGGCTCTATTTTCTCAGTGACTCCTGTGAAAAAGGATACCCAATTCCAAAATGATCATTTTTTATTTTAATGTTATCAAAAGGATATTGTGGCATTTTTTCTTGGTTTCAGAATATTCTACTATTGATTGTGTAGTTTCTTTTACCCATTTAATTTTGTCTGTTACATTTCTACTAGTAGGTATTATTAATTCAGCTCCCCATTGTTGCAGCAAATCTCTTCCCCGTGAATTCATAGGCGTTGCCAGCACATATGGCTGTAAGACAGCCACCAATCCATCAGGCCCTTCACATCGTAAAGGATGAGCACTTTTTTGTATATCTTTTCCTAGTACTGTACCTATACCTTTGATGGAACAATCTACTGTTTTCAGGGCCCATCTGGAGGGCCAAAGTTCTGCAGCTTTACTGACACGTCAGCTCCTGAATCTACTAATCCTAAAAAAGTTTTTCCATTTAATTTCATTTCCAACGAAGGACGATTGGATTGTTGAATTAAAGTATTCCAATTGATAAACACCTTATCAGTAGATCCACATCCTTCTACCCTTTTGTTCTGTGAGTGACTAATTGGTATGTATGGAAGCAACAACATTGAGCAATTTTATCCCCAGGTTGCAACGTCCACGGAACAGGAGTTTTAACTAATACACAAATTTCTCCTGTATAGTCACTATCTACTACTCCCGGCATAACTTGAATTCCTTTTAAGTTCATACTAGATCTTACTAAAATTAAGCCCACAATATTTTCTGATAATGGGCCATAACATCCTGTTGGAACTTCTGTTGGACCTGCCCCAGGATGTATATTGATAGTATAGGGTACAGTTAAATCTACTGCTGCACTTCCTCGGATGGTGGGACTAAGTGATAAGACAGAAGGTTTATGGCTACACTCTTTACGTTCGGGTTGCACCATGTCCCCTGTTTGTTGATCGGGGCCAGAGGAAAACCCCTCCTGAAGTTTCCGGCTGTAACATATTTCCTGCCTTGTCAAATTTAGATCTACATTTTTTTTGCCCAATGTACTCCCTTCTGACATTGAGGACATGGCCCAGGGGCCCGGTTAATATTATTAGGGAAATTTGGTTTTTGAAAGCCTTTTAAAGCTCTACAATCCTTTTTCAGGTGTCCTGGCTTACCACAATTAAAACATTTTTATTTCGCCTGTTGTTGCACTGTGCACATGGCAGCAGCCATAGCTTTAGCTTTATGAGTGCGTGTTCCTTTATTTCTGCATAATTTAAGATAGTCTTAATATTTCCCCCAATTCTCTGTAGGGTCTAATGGCAACCGGACAATCTTCATTAGCATTTGCAAAAGCCAATTGTCGTAATAAAGATTCCATAGCAAGTCTGTTTTCTACTTGTCTTTCTAAAACTTCCTGTAGTCTAGAAACAAAATCTGTATATGGTTCAGTGGGTCCTTGAAAAATTTTATTATTAACTCTTCCCACTTATCCTGAAGGGGTAAGTTTATTCCAAGCGGCTTGTCCAATTTCCCTTTATTTGATCTATTGCTGCTGGGGGTGTATTTAATAACTGTTGTTGTAGGTCCATAAATTCCCAGATCCTGTCAGCATTTCATAAGTCATATGCTGTTGACCAGGAGTATTTCTATTAATTCTTGCCTTGAGGGTAGCAGCTTCAGATACCCACATTCTCCACTTCAAATAATCTTGAGGAGAAAGGCAAGATTTAGCTACCATGCTCCAATCCATTGAATAAGTATCTGTGTAGTAAATGGAGCAGTTGGGCTATACATAGTGCAAGATTTCCTTAATTCTTTTAACGTATTTAAATTTAAGGGTTGATGTGTCACTTTATTATTTTGCCTAATAATCGGAAAATTAAAGAAAGTATCTAAATCTGTTCTTTCGATACCCTGATGAAATTTTCCTCCCAAAGCTTGTTCTAAAGGAGAAAAACCTTTACTCTTTTTACTGTTTTATCTTTAAGTTCCACATTCTGCATTAAGGTAGTTAAGTCCTCATCTTCTTTAAGGGGACTCTCAAAAATCTTACTTTCTTTTTCTGAAAACATTGGTACAGAAGGTTCTGCTTTACCCTCACCTTTAGCAAACATTCCTTCCCCAGCTAATTTTGCCTTACAAGTTTCATCATCTAACTCATATTCATGTAACTACAGAGCTACTTGATGTTGTAAATTATTTATAGGAGTGGAAGCGACATCCTTTTTAGGTTCAATTTCTAGAGTTTCCATCACAACTCTAATCATAGACCACATTGGCCAAAAATCTATAGGAATATTTTCTCTTTGTCTCATAGCTTTCAAAACATTATTCTTCACTCTTATCCACGTTTCTTCATCTAGAGTCCCTTCATCAGGAAACCATGGGTTATATTCTATAACTACTTCCAAGCACTTTTGAATTC